CTTGTATGGGCCTCGCATGTTTTCCTTGACTCTCTTTAGATATAGTACAGAACACACAGTGCGCGGTTCATACAGAAATGCTTGGATAAGCTGTCACCCTACACAATCAATTGGCTTCACTTCATCTTCACCAGCAACTAGACAACAGAAAACTAATGATTCTAGAGTTTTATCAAGTCAGCACTCATCTGCTAGGAACAGATCTTTTTATTTATTTGTAGCTAAACTAGGAGCTGGTAAATTCATTAGTTCAAAATGTCACCCAAAAACCAGGATATGGAGGGGAGTAAAGCATAAATACATTTTCCGTGCAAAGAGAATGCAGTTCTGGTGCTTTTTTCCAGAGAGAATTGGATCTGCATTATGCTGACTTCTGGTGTCACATGGCATTTTAAGGTAATTTGGATTGCACCTTAATAACTAACTAACTTTAGTTATTAAGAAAAATCCTTCATAGAGATTCCCAAATATTTCGGCTATCAATAAGACACCGAAGAAAGTTAAAATAAGTCACATGAACAGCTTCAAAACATTACAATAAACCACTTCCACTCAGTCACAGCAGCTACAATAACACCCTGTTTAGTCTGATCCTGCCAGTGTTCTTCAGGCCCACACAGTTCATTCATGTTCAATTATTCTTTCTTCTTTATTACAGACGAACATAGAACTTGAAAGCTATAACCAAAACACTTAAAATTAACTCTGATGGAAACAATAATATCTGCCAATAAAATCTGGGGTTTTTTTCCTAGACTGGCAGTTTGGCATGGCAATTTGTGTGCAACTCCCATTAGTAAAGAGGAGGTAATTTCTGGTCTGTAATGGGTCGGTAGCCTGCATGGTGAAGGACAGGACAGACGATCTGTACGTGTGCATGTACGTATATACACGGACCACTTTTTTGCAGATGAGGACTTGATCAGCTGTATTTTCCTCTCAGCCAACATAAGCAGACAGTTCCTCTACTAAACTATTCAAAACCCTGTTTGGGAATTGTCATCCTTACTATGGTACCTTTTGCTGTATACTTGATATACCTAACCGTCTAAAACCTTCCAAACTTTTTCCTCCTTCAGTCCTCACTTTCAGAGGACTGAATTGAAAATTGAGAGTTCTGCCACTGAACATGCTACTGATTCTTATAAAATTGCAGTTTAAGTTGTAGCAATGTTACAAACATTTAACAGTTGTCATTTTATGAAAGGCATCAATCATGCCAAAATACCTGCATTTAATCAAAATAAATAATTGCCAAAATGTTGGTATTTTTGTCATTAAAAATGAAACATCTGACTGTCTAATTTAAAGAGGTTTTTACTTTTTCTTCCTTTTTTCATTCCTAGGTATAAAAAATTTGGAAAGACTCACAGTCACGCTTTAAGGTCTATGGGATTCATTTCCAGATGAAAATAATGAAGAAAATGAAGAGGTGATGTTTCACTGTTTTGTTTTTTAAATCACTCAGTGTTGCACTTACATTTTCCGTTACTGGCATACTTTGTTTTCTTGGAGTTCTTAGCATTAGATAATATTTAGATTAGATGAGTATGTTTTATAGCATAACTAAATTTATGCAGTTAAATGTGATAAATAAAACACTTAGTCAGCTTTAATAACTTCTAATGATGGTCTGATCTCATGAAAATTGAGATGAATTTTTGAAGATTAAACTAGGCGGTGAGGAAGGGAAGAAGAAATGTATCACTGCATATTATAATCATAAAATGCAACCAGTGGCTTCTGTAAAAACATAAAAATGGAAACATGGAAGTTAATAAAAATAATTATGAGACAGCCATGCTGTCTGAAGACCCACAAATACACACTTGGGTAATGAGACATAATTTTTGCTCCAGTGGAAAACTGCAATTGGTGATCTAAAATTTTATATGAATACTGGGAGAAAATACCAGTATTATAGAAGTAATTATAGGACTGGATTCACAGCATTTCCTGGTCCTCAGGATATTAAAATGCCACCAAAGAAATACCTAGCTCTTCCTCTGAAAATGAAAGTTGGATTAAAAGAGTCTTAATATGCTAAAAATACTATATTAAGAAATGGGAAAAAATGAGCCAAATCCCTCCATAGAAGAAAACCCGCTATCATGGCCAATTCTTCTTGAAATGTTTGGGGTAGACTAGGCTATACTAAAGATTTATATCCACTGAAATTTTGGCAGACTGTGTGCTCAAATGAGTACGCATATTAATGTCATGGAAATTTTGAAGTTATGTTTGTTAGTCATATGTCTATAGCAAAGACACGATTTAGTCACACACATTAGGATATATTGACAGATGCTCAGCGTCTGGCTGAGGCAGCAAAACAGACTTTGAGACTACAGCTTTGAGCCTCCCTTTGCCTTCTGATCACAAATCTTCCGGACGCTCCATTCCCAGGTGCGAGCCACAGCAGACTAACAGATATTTTAAATTGTGCTAACAGGCCTCTGGGGCCATCTCAACTTTTGGGAAAAAATAAAGTTGCTTGCAAAGAAGTTCTGACCTCATTTCTTTTTCCTGTCATGCTTCTTGTCACATTACAGGGAGTCGATACCAGCCAACTAAAATGACTTTATGCTAGCCTCAGGCAAGGTGGCCTCAAAGTTCCACCATTTCAACTTGTAAACTTCTTTCCTTCCTTTTTTTTTTTTTTCTCAATATTTTGAAGGAAAAAAACCCAAACACATAATAACCCCCAAACCACTAAAATCATTCCGTAAGATCCAAACAAAAAAAAAAGTTATTAAAACCCAAGCGTCAGCAAAAGAGCATTAAAATTAGATTTGCTGATATTCTTGACTGAGCAAATCAGTAGTATCATGAATGAAGACAAGAGTATTCACAGTGCTGCAAGAATTGTCTAGAAGGAGAATCTGGTCTCAGAGAAAAATCTGAACATCCTTCTCAAAACTAACACTCCCTTAGCAGAACTGTTGCAATACCACAAAATGAGGACTCACTTCGAACTCCCTCTACTATCCCTGAAGTCTGTGTAAATGGCTTCTGTAGTATCAACATGGCCATAATGAAGAGACACCAACAAGGGAAAGAAAAAAACCAATTTACATAAAGCTGGTGAGAACTTATGAGGTGGAGGTAGGAAGTTCTACAAATTCATTTGCAAAAACAGGATGAAGACCTTCCTAGAACCAGATGAG